CCCCTGTGTCATGCAGAATTAAACATGAGAACTAGTTGTCTGAAGTTTAAAGGTTTCACTAAAAGTAAAGGGAAATAAGCACTTGTTTCAGTTCTCTTGCATGCATACCATAAAGTCTAGTGCTCTTCTGACACTGACATGACATGCAGCAAATATCTTAAATCCATAGAGAATTGTACAAGTGAAGCCTTGAATAAATACTCCTCAAAGCTAAAAGAGGGGAGCTAAAAGAGGAGAGAGAGAGAGAGGAAGAGAGAGAGGGGGGTATGTAAGAAGGAGGGTAAGCAGAAGGGAAGGAGACAAGTAGTGAAGAGAGAAAATAATAAAACAATAATACAAATAAAGAACAAGCAGAGGTACTCACATGTTGCTACTTAAAAGTTCATTATTGTTATCACACACTCTCTGGGCAGAATACTGCAAAAAAAATCAGAAAATGGATCTTAAAAGTATATGGAAAAAATTCAAAATAGGTGGAAAATTTGACACATTTTGTCCTATAAATCAAAATACTATATATCTGTTTATTTAAGTACTTTTAGATTTAATTATTTTATTTTTAGTGCCAGTACTGGAGCTTGGGCTCAAGGTCTTGTGCACCCCTCAACTTGCTTACTCATGGCTCTATCACTCAATCCATGCCTTTAGTTTGATATTTTTCTGGTTGAGTGGGACACAGAGTAGAATGAACTTTTCTTCCCTGGTTGGCTTTGAACCTCAGTCCTTCAAGTCTCAGCCTCAGGAGTAACTAAGATAACAGGCATGAGCCACTGGAGTCTGGCCCTTGTTTATTTATAATGGACCAGATTTATAGGCAACATAAATCTGTTTGTGGGCACATATTTCTGGAGGCTGACAAGTACATGGTCCCAGAGTATCATGCTATCTCCAAGATGGAAGAGTGCAAGACAGGGAAAGAACTGTACCTACCCCTAGATAATTAAATTCATTTGTTTGGGACAGCTCTGTTCCTATAGTCCAACAACTTCAGCATTACTTCACTGAAGACTATGATTCTAATGAAAGAACTTGAGAAAAGAATATTCAAACTAGTTGTAAATCTACCAGGCATAGTATTTTAGTGTTCCGAGTGTGAGAAATAATGACATAAATGTTTGATGATCTGATTAGGATTGTTGTCCTTCTTCTGGGTTTATAAGACACCATCGTACTTAGGAAAACAGATTTTTAAAAGCTTTTGGGGGCTGGGAAGGTGGCTCAGTGGTAGAGTGTTTGCTTTGCATGCATGAAGCCCTGGTTTTGATTTCTCAGCACCACATAAGCAGAAAAAGCCAGAAGTGTTGCTATGGCTCAAATGGTAGAGTGTTAGCCTTGAGCTGAAGGGACAGCACTGAAGAGTTGGGGGACAATGCTCAGGCCCAGAGTTCAGGTCCCACAACCAAAAAACAAAAAAAAAAGTTCTTGGATTTAATTTTGTAAATACATGTGTTGTATAACTTCACAGTACAGGACTTCTTACCTGTATTCAGTATGTAAACTGAAGTTTCACCTACAAGTACACTTATGGAAAACACTTTGTTCAATATTTAATAAGAAGGGCATGCAACCTACTAAACAATCAAATGTAGCAATGAAAAACAGAGAAATCTGGCCAGCTGATAGTCTATTTCATGAGAGGTGAATATAAAGAAGATACTAGCATGCGACGTTAAGTGATAAAAGATATTTTACAGAAAAAAAATAATGAGAATACAGAGACACTTATTTTGGCTGTGAACCCAAGGAAGAGTTTAATTTAAAAATGTTTTAAGCTGAGTAGATGGTGCCTGTCATCCTGACTTCTCAGAAGGCAAAGATTGGGAGGGTCATTCCTCAATGCCAGAGGACAAAAACTCTTGTATGATCCTATCTAAACCAATACCTGTTCATAGTGGTACCTGCCTGTCAACTAAGCTATGAAGGAATGTATAAATAGTAGGGTTGTTATCCAGGCCATTCCAGGCCTAAATAATCAGAACCAATTTGATTGAGTAATGTCTGAAGAAATATATCACTTGTCTATGAAATAATAAGCCTAGAGTTCAAACTTCAGTACTAATAACAACCAAGTATAAACTTTGTCAAAGGATGATGGACCAAGGACAAAGACTGATACTGTACATAAACAGTTGTGCATATCTTGGGTTATACAGACAATTCAAGCAAATCATTACCTACAGTATTCTTCACAAATATTCCAAATTCACTAAATAGTAACATCAAAATTCATAAGAATACTAAAAATACATTGTAACTTTTGAATGTCTAAACTGATAGTTTAGAAGTAGGCATATAAATGCCTACAAGTAGAACTTTGTTCAATTTTCCCAAAAAACTTAACACAAAATGTATTACTTTTCCCATTTTCTACAAGACAACCTTAGGCTGTACAGTCCATGGAATTGTGCAATTGTTCATCGAGATAGTATAAAATCAACTTGAAAAACACAGTATTACCTGATAACATGGCTACCATAGTTCACTCACTATTATGATGAAACACTCAATAAGTCAAAGACTTTGATTTATTTAAAAAACAAAAACAGAAGCATGCAATGCATCATGATCAGCCTGATAAGAAAAGTTGTTGGCATTGAAAATCAAAAATATTAAATGAATACTTTAAACTCTTATTAAAGTAACTTTGAGGTTTAAGGAGATACTTTCAACTACTTTCTTGGACAGCTTGTAAGGATAAAATTTAGCTATGTTTTCATATTTTCAATACACAGTGTATACATGTTCTTTACATGTTGGTGAAACCGGGGTACCTAATTAGATTGAGTTAACAGTTTAGAGTTGTTTACTTTTCATTTTTAGTTTATATTAAGGCTTCCTGCAACACTAACACTTTATATAACTATGAATGAATGAGTGGTTCTAAATCTGCCATAGTCTGGGATAAAGCTACTTTTGTTTCTGATGTTATTATTTCAAAATAACTGACTTAATTTTCCTGGCAATCAGCTTCCAATGGCACTGAGATGGCTTAGAAGCTTTTCAGAAGGAACTGTATGTTTAGAAATGCCTATTTTTTATTTTGTTTCATTTTTGATTGTGCTTTTACTGGGGCACTCTTGCTTGGCTTTCCTATTCACAACCGGTATTATTACCATTGAAACCATGCTTCGAATTCAGCATCTGTTTGCTATTTAAATGTGGAGTCTAGCAGAATTTTCCGTCTAGGTTGGCATTAAAAAAATTATCCTTGGGCTGGGAAGGTGGCTCAGTGGTAGAGCGCTTGCTTTGCATGCTCGAGGCCCTGGGTTCGATTCCTCAGCACCGCATAAGCAAAAAGAAAAAAGCAAGAAGTGGTGCTGTGGCTCAAGTGGTAGTGCGCTAGCCTTGAGCTGAAGAGCTGAGGGACAGCACCCAGGCCCAGAGTTCAGGACCCACGACCGGACCAAAAAAAAAAAAAATTATCCTCACTCCTCAGCTCCTTATAACTAGGATTACAGGTGTGAGCCACCAGTGCATGACTAAGTATTTCTAACTTGGGCAAAAATATACGAATGTACATACATGAGTATGTATGCGTGCACACATGAATATATATGAATACGTTTATAGATATTAATATATACCTATATATATGTACATACATGTGTGTATAATATACAAATGGATTTTTTTAATTTCGTGAACGACTAGCTGGAAATGACCTACAAAAGTTACAGCAATGCTCCCTTATCGAAGATTAGATGGCTATAGGTCTGTAGGTTCATTTCTGGGTTTTCAATTCTATTCCATTGGTCCTGAGGTCTGTTCTTATGCCAATACCAAGCTGTTTTGATTACTATGGCTTTATAGTAGAGTTTGAAATTTAGTATTGATATTCCTCCAGCAGTGTTCTTTCTTTTGAGGAGTGTTTTTGCTATTCGGGGTCTTTTATTGTTCCATATGAATTTTTGGATTGCCTCTTCTATTTCCTTGAAGAATAAGGTTGGAATTTTGATAGGTATCGCGTTGAATTTGTAGATAGCCTTGGGAAGTATTGCCATTTTCACGATGTTAATCTTTCCAATCCAGGAGCATGGGAGGTTTTGCCATTTTTTAAGTTCTGTGTTGATTTCCTTTTTCAAAATTTTAAAGTTTTCATCATAGAGGTCCTTCACTTCTTTGGTTAACTTAATTCCTAGGTATTTTATTTTTTGTGGGGCTATTACAAATGGAGTTGCTTTCCTAATTTCAGCCACACTTTTCTCATTGTTGGCATACAGAAAAGCCATTGATTTTGGGGGGTTAGTAGATGAATGGATCAAGAAAATGTGGTATATATACACAATGGAATTCTATGCCTCCATCAGAAAGAATGACATTGCCCCATTTGTTAGGAAATTGAAAAACTTGGAAAAAATTATATTAAGTGAAGTAAGCCAGGCCCAAAGAAACACAGGTCCCATGGTTTCCCTTATTTGCAATATCTAGTATATGTATGAGTCAAGCGGAAAAGGTAAGATAATGTGATGTTAGGAAAATGAACCCTTAGATATGTATTTTAATGTTTTTTTTTCATGCATGTGTTTCTAACGCATTTATAAGATCATTTCTTTGTTGCTTTGTATGTCCCTCCCCCACAGTATAACCCCTGCTTTCACTATATTTGATGTCAGTATAACTTGTGGAGGAGATGGGGAAAAACAAGTCGTTTAAGGATACAGGTGGACCTGTTGCAACAATGAGAAGTACAAGTTGTCAAGCTTTACAACGTCGGTGCGGGGAGGGGGGGGGTTGGGGGGGAAGGGGGGAAGGATGGGGGGGAGGAGGGAGGCTGGGAGGGGATGTGAAGGGTAAACAAAGGAGGAGGCTATAATGCTTCGTAAGAAATGTATGCATTATCCTGCTCATGTAATTGTAACCCCTCTGTACAGTATGTTCACAAATAAAATAAAATAAAAAAAAAAGTTACAGCAATGCTTCCAGAGCCAAGTTTGACTTTATGACAGTACCATGCACGAACCTTTTGTATTCATGTGGTTCGTTTTGTTTTTTATTTCTAGAACCTCCACCTACTGGCTCACTCGTATCCAGTCTTTTCTCTACTGCAATGAGAATGGCCTCCTGGGCAGCTTTTCAGAAGAAACGCATTCGTGCACCTGTCCAAACGACCAGGTGGTCTGCACCTCCTTCCTACCCTGCACGGTGGGCGACGCCTCTGCCTGTCTGACCTGCGCCCCGGACAACCGCACCCGCTGTGGCACCTGTAACACAGGCTACATGCTGAGCCAGGGCCTCTGCAAGCCCGAAGTGGCCGAGTCCACCGACCACTACATCGGCTTTGAGACTGACCTGCAAGACCTCGAGATGAAATATCTGCTGCAGAAAGCTGATAGGCGAATAGAAGTGCATGCCATTTTCATCAGCAACGACATGCGTCTCAACAGCTGGTTTGACCCCTCTTGGCGTAAGAGGATGCTCCTCACCCTGAAGAGTAACAAGTACAAGTCAAGCCTGGTCCATATGATTCTGGGTCTCTCCTTACAGATTTGTTTGACTAAAAACAGCACGTTGGAGCCCGTGTTGGCTGTGTATGTCAATCCCTTCGGTGGCAGCCACTCGGAGAGCTGGTTTATGCCTGTGAATGAAAACAGCTTTCCAGACTGGGAGCGGACTAAATTGGACCTCCCTCTGCAGTGCTATAACTGGACACTTACCTTGGGCAACAAATGGAAGACATTTTTTGAGACAGTCCATATCTACCTGAGGAGTCGCATCAAGTCCAGTGGTCCCAATGGCAACGAGAGCGTGTACTATGAACCTCTGGAGTTTATTGACCCTTCTCGGAACCTGGGCTACATGAAAATCAACAACATTCAAGTGTTTGGTTACAGCATGCACTTTGACCCGGAAGCAATTCGGGACCTGATCTTGCAGCTGGACTACCCCTACACTCAGGGATCCCAGGACTCAGCGCTTTTGCAGCTCCTAGAGATAAGAGACCGTGTAAATAAACTCTCCCCACCTGGTCAGCGTCTTCTAGATCTTTTCTCTTGCTTGCTTCGTCATAGACTCAAGCTGTCTACTAGTGAAGTGGTGAGGATCCAATCTGCTCTGCAGGCGTTTAATGCCAAATTGCCAAACACAGTGGACTATGACACGACCAAATTATGTAGTTAACTATAAATGTCAAGCACAACCCAAAACCTTGAAGGAGTTTTTAACAGTGCTTTTGTGGAACAGTTTATGTTTGGAAGAGTAAATTTAAATTGTCTTTTCAATATCTGTCTTATATCAGTCAAATTAACATTGGATGGCAATTTACACACATGAACTTTGCTGACAATGAATATATTATACCGCAGTTTTGGTTTATGAATGAAATAAATACTGACACCAGTCTAGAAGACATTCTACTTTTTACAATAAATTTCATTTGTAATTTTATATGTTCCGTGGCAATGCTTTTGTGCATTACATCCTCTAGAGGGAACATAAGAAGATACCAATAAAATTTTGTAGCTGAACAGTTATTAAAAAGAAATGCTGTGGGATTCCTTCTTTCCTCCCCCCACCCCTTGTGAAATGAGTTATTTTTTGATATAGTTTGTTGGAACTTGGGGAAAATTTCCCAAGTGTTTATAATAGAAACTTTTGAAGATGTATTTCAATTAGCTTCAGTGGGAAAAGAAAAGGAAAGGAAAAAAACAAACAGCAAGGTATTAGGTAGAATGCTTAGTATTCAGTTCATTTTTGTTTTAATAGTTAATAGAATGATGACACAGGTGTGTTTATCACAAACATTTGAAAACCAATACAAGAGAAATGATCATTATTAAAATAGTCAAGTAAATTTAGTGTTGAGCAAATATCAGCACATTTCAACAAACATACAGAAAAAAAATCCCTGATTATAAGGCATATAATAGAGAAAGCAAACCTTTAATTTCCTTAGCAACTTGCTTTGTCATTCTCTTTCTACTTCCTAATAACTAATAATCAATGTAGTAGGCACAATCATTTTCATTTCAATTTCTGAAAAGCTAGATATTCTAGTCTTTTATGAATGTCAATGAAATGACATTTCTAGAACTATTAACAAATTATAATGCAAATAGAATGAAATAAATGCTCAAATCACTAGTTCACTATTTTTTCTTAATTCCAGCTACTATGACAATAGACCTTTTGAAGAGAAATTTCTGTGACTACAAAACTAATCTTAGTAAAAATTTTGGTTTGAAAGCTACATTAATTTGCACATTCCTGTGAGATGTTAGATTTATTATGCCTTCTTTGTTCTAAAACTTACATGATACTTTGTTGTAGGCATATGACTACATCTGTAAAAATCGCTTATGCTGCTTATAACTCAAATATTATCTCGTTAGTTTGTAAGTATTTTCTATTATTATTATCTAACCAAATAAACAGTATAGGCTAGATTCCTTGTTGTCATTCACCTCACAGAGAAAACAGCCAATAACATGGATGAAAAGAAAACATGACAATTCTCAAGAATATTATACAGATATTACGGGTTTTTGGAATAGTTACAATTTCAAGAAAACAAATAAGAACAAGTAGACAGGTTGAAAAGCAAATATTTGTCCAAATGTTCAAAATTTTGATCCTTTGACCTAATATCTAGGTTGCTGAATTTCCTATTGGTTAGTTCTTTGATTTTGTTAAACTAACCTTGTGCTGTGGCAAGCAACTAAATAGAAAATACAGACAAATATTAATGTATCATATTATAGCAAGTATACACATTTAATAGTGACAATAACACTACGTTATAGATTTTTGTTCCTATTTCTTGGGAGATAAACTGAAAGATCAGTGTAGTTCATCAAATTTTCTAAAACCACAAAAGATGTTGAAAGACTAAGGTTCAATATAGAATTTGCTGAAAGGAGTCTGATCCATATTTGTTGTTTGCTGTACTTCAACTGAGCTGCTATATTTCTTATATCCAAAGGCTTATGGGTAAAAAAAAAAAACCTTATAGTTTGATATCTAAATCACCCAGCATTGTAAAACACTTAAATCAATGGTATAACTAAAAAAAACTAGTAAAATCAGCATCTATCTTCTATGGTCAATCTTCCATGGAATGGAAATCATATCAGATACAAATAATACATTTCAAATGACATTTTCTGGAAAAGCCAAAATTTGGTCCAGAACCTTTTCCAGAAGAATAGTAGAGGCCAAGCTGCTTCAAGTCTCTGACACCTGGAAATTATTTTTAACAATATTCATGAGTACCAAGGGAACTGGAAAAAAATATGATTTACTATTCTTAGAAATTGGCTGCAACGCACAATTCACTTGTCCTGGAAAAAGCTATGGGGAAGAAGATCCTACTATGGTAAGAAATTTATTAAACAGGATTTAATCCTCTTATCTCTATTCAGGGTTTATTTTCTATGGAATAAAAATTATGATAGCCCCAATTCTCTGGATAGCATTCACCAATGAATCCATTCTGTCTCTGAAGACAGTTTTTCCTGAATGTAGAAGAGAAATGTAAACATGGTTCCATGAATGTTGTGTCTAAGACAACATTAATATAATATTACATAAACACACCAAACATACCCTGAAGTAAAACAAAAAAGTGCAGATGTATTTCAAAGTTTCTATTTCTTACCTGTTACAGGCTGTCCATTGCGGAGTAGACAATTAATTAAAATAGAGCAATGCAATATGTGTTTGCTTATACATGGGGACAATGTATCCACAAACATTTATTTTTTCTGGAACTGGCATTCTTCAAATATGTTTTACTCATTTTTGTCTTAAGAATTTTAACAAAATGGACTTTTAAAAATCACTTAAAGCAAACATATTTACACATGCATACATTTTTAAATAGAGAATTCAGCTCCTCTTGGATATGGAACTTAAAGATTCCAATAAAATATGACACTGGAAATTAAAAGAAATAGGAAAACATTTTTCTCTGGGAAGATGTAATATCATTGAGTTAATTTGATTATACAGTTCTGATTTTTCTTGATTCCCATTCTCTGGAATTTCAAGTTTACCTTTCACAGTTAAATTGGTAACCTAATAATGAAAGCACCTTAAAATTTGCTAAAATTTCTGTTTATCATTCTGTATTCCAGTAATGCAGGATGATCCATTTTCTCTACATTCTCTTTTTCTGTTTGTATGACTCTTGTCATAATATGAAAAGTTCCCTAGAGAAGTTTTGACATGTACATTCCTGTAACACTATAGATCCATTTTCTTCCATTCAGAGCTTTTTTTGTCTTTTAATTATATGTTTTTATATGTTCATAATAATATTAACCTTCATGCCCCAACTATTATGTGCAATTGGGGCTTGCTAACTTCTTTCCTGGACTAGCTTCATCCCTATCTACAAGTAGCTGGGATTATAGGCATCTACCATCATTCCTGGCCCTTACATAAAGATTAAAGATTTTAAGAGGTAAATATATTCATTACATTCACTATTAACAAATTATTTTAAAAGGTTACATATGTAGTTCTTCTAAGTTAACATGGCAACTGAAAGTAGAACATTTAACACATTCTGTACAGAAATTGTGATAGAGTCTCACTCTCAGTTGGTCTCTAAATCGGTTATTTGAATACTAACTTTACAGAAGTTGACTTTTCCTCCAGTAACAGTCTTTTAATTTAACACATTGATGTTAAGTTTGTAGGACTCTTCAAAAGTAAAGTCCAAGTACTGAATTTTTTTTTTAACTTGAGAGTTTATGTTTGCAATGCTACCAGTTAACCAACTACTGTTTATGTCCACTTGGTCTTAATATATGCAGTTTTACATTCTATGTCAGGCTTTGCAAGTCAAATAATTCCAGCAGTATAACTACATAATCACCATTTCCTAATAATTTTAATATTAAACAAATGCACCAGAGTAAGTGGAATAATTTCACAGACATTTTCATTTAATTCACACTGAGGTGATATTAGCTATTTTAATGACTTAAGAATGCAAATATCCATTTCAGATCATTTGATATTTGCACATGGAAGCCAAGTTAATGCTAATAAATTATACATAAACTAAAGCAAAATCTCACATTTAAAATTACCTAATATACTGGTAGTGTGAGTAACTACAAAATGACCAAAGTATTATAATAATCAATGCTTGCATAACATGACTGTCACATCATAAATAATGTAAAATAGTTCAATGCATTCAGTACCCAAGTAGCACTTAGCATAAGGAAGCTATCCTCTATGACATATTCAAAATGTTTGCTGATGCAATGATCTCATCACAGATGGCTAACTCCACTATTGATAAAATACAATTATGGAAATGAAACATGTCTGGAGGAGTTTTCAGAAGTATAAGAATGTATCAATATGGGAAAATTGATTCCATAAATAGGATTCTGGCAAAAGTATAGAACCCAACTGTCGAATACCAATGATAATACCATAATATGAATTTTCTTAGTAAATGGAAGTTTCTTTGTTTCAGTAAAAATAGTTTACAAGGTACATACTTCAGAATTGATTTTGAAATATAATTTTAGTTGCTTTTTAATTATAATGTGGAAATATTTTAAGTCTATCATTTCATATCATCGTAATAATAGAAAATGAATAAAAATTATCTATAGACTGAATATACTTACTTTATGCAGATTATATATTTCATGTTTGCAGATCGATGATAATTAGCATAAAACTATAGCAAACAAGGGAAATAAATGATTAAGTGCACATTTTTCTACATATATCATCTGTAATGAGTTCAGAACTTTTGCTAGCAACAAATTTATTAGACTTTTATTTCTATTACAGTTGAATATTTATGACTTTATAAATTAGAAAAATCTTACAAGAGGAACGCATAAAAATTAAGATTCACTAGATAAATATGAAAATAAACCTACAAAATTATTATTAAAAACTGCAAAACTGAACTAATAAGTTTAGAAATACATGTTATGCTATAGAATTAGTAAAATAATGTTAATCTATCCCAATGTAATTTTTAGGTTTAGTACCAAATAAGATTACAATGGACTTTTATTATTATAAATAAAACGTATCATCAGTGTGTTTAGACAGCAAATGGTTGGTTGGAAACAAATTATTTTTAATTTTTTATAATTAGAATAACTTTGGGGATTTCTTTCAACAGATACAAAATACACAAGTAATAGGAAGAATAAGCCCAAGCCACAGAATTTTAGTAGAAAATGGCATTGTGATCAAATAATTACTTCAATTGTTCAAAAGGAAGCCATTTCACCTGGGGTGGGACATTTGTCTCTTTGTTTAGTAAAGAAAGGTTTATATTTTTATTTAAAATATTTATATCTTTGCATCTATAGTTACATATTTATTAAATCTTGCTTAAAGATTTAACACTAAAAGTAAAAGAAAACTAAATTCTATTAGCTGAGAATTAATATAATAATATG